TGAGGCTGTTAGTAGATAGGGACGTGGCGTGTGCCATATCCCTGTTGGCGGATGTCAGGTGCAACGACTAATGCGTAGTTGTAGATACTAACCCTATATATAACACCATCTACAGGGGTAGTGAAAGTTCAGACGCCGAAAATAGATTGAAAACTATCTGCAGAAAATAACCATATTTTGCATCACATAATCTTTCTTTATCACTGCATCGGAACAAAGATCAATGCATAAAATATGGCAAAAAGGTAATAAAAACCAACAAAATCAAAAATGCATATTAGCAATCAAGGAAACATATATTAATATTTACCTAAGGGGAGATACGATGGATGTGTAAATATATGGCTACTAGAGGTTATCTCACAAAATAAGCAAGAGACGTCAATACAACGGGGTAGATATAGGATTCTATAGAGTAGATGACCATTTTGACTGGGTTATCCTTGTCCATCAACATTCATCACTAATATGCCACGATTATTACATTCTAAGAAGTTGCATTTTAATTCTTGGTATATGAGAATTAGTCATCGAGTTACTGAAACATTACTCGAAAGAATCTTTCTATTGCAGCAAACCCAGTTCTTAGAAAATTAGATTATTAACGAAAAAAGAAAATTCCACAAGATTCAACCATTGAATCAAGTCCAAAAAAAAATTCGTCCGATACAACCAACAAATAAGAATGCGTATTCCTAATATTGTTAAAATATGAATTAGTACCACATATTATATTTCTAATGAGTATCAATTAGTTCTACGGGAATCTAATTGGATGTTCTTGATTTTTTTACAATAAATTTTAAATGTTTAACAATAAAATGGTTACGTTGAGCTAAAAAAGATCAGAATTGACAAGTTCCAGGTACTAATGATATTTATTGAAACATCAGAATTGATGTATGTGTTTAAATTTATTGAAATTTGACATTTAAGATTGGAAATTTATTTAAATTTTTTTTTACAAACTAAACTACCTGACAATCTAATTTTAACAAGATAAATTTACCTATTTTGACTGGAGGGTAAATTTATCCACATAAAATCTCGTAGTTCAACTCTAACTGTCTTTTAGCCATTTTCGTGATATCTAATTATTTTGGCCATTTTCAAAATCAAACTATTAAATATAGTCATTTCTCTAGTTGCCCCTATTTTTTAAGTAGGAATTAAGGATAAGGACACGACTAGTTCGACTAGTTCATTTGGAGATTCTAATTATAAAAATAGCTCAAGTATTAACAATTTATATTTTTATTTAAAAATGAGTCCATTTAGTATGGAACCATAAAAAGATTACTAAGTTGTCAATTGAAATATATATTTAACAAGCAAATAAATACACAATCAAAAATAGAAAAAACTCTAAATTTATGATTTCCCATCAAAACTCCATCCAAATCACACCCACAATCAAATCCCTAAAAGTTAGGAGCCGAATTTTCAAACTCACATTCGAGGCATCAAATCTCCACTATCTTTAACGTATGTTGGCAAATTCACATATGATTAGGGAGTTTCATTTTTACCACGGGATCGACGTAAATTTTTCCCACCACCTAAATGGGATGGAATAGGGAACATTCCCCGTCCCATCCCCGTTCCCCTTCTCGTCCCACGTTATTTTTAAAATATTTATGTATATAGATACACACTAAAATAATTATATCATCATCTTTATATATACATGTACTAAAAAGATCATCTATTATTTTCTACCCACCCACCTAATATATATATTTGAGAGAATTAGACGTTAGAAATTAAACAATTAAATAAAAATTTCTTTAATAAAAAAATCTATTGAAAAATAAAAAAATGGGGAAAAATTCCACTCGGGAATCCGATTCCCACAAATTCCCTGCAAGGATTCCCCACCTAATCCACGTGAAATTTGCGATGAAGAATTAAATGGGGGGCGGGGAAGCCTTCCTCCTCCCATGAGCATCCCTACGTACCCTAGATTTTCCTTGG